AATAAAACACTTTCTCAAGCAGTGGATTTTAAAGTAAAATATCATTTAATCAGAAAATACACAGAAAATTTTAAAATATTGTCAACATATCTTTAATATAAAATTATAAAAATGTATCCAACATGTCTTTTTGTTTTTGTTTTGTCATTTCCAAAGTGTTTACATTAAAAGGAAAGTAAAGATACAATATTTGATTAAAAAAAACTCCACTGTAACACTGATAGTTTAAGTTTTTCTGGAAGTTAATTTCACACACAACCTTAATATCTTATTTAAGAACCTTCTGCACAATCAAACAAATTTTAACTGAATAAAGCTTGTAGCATTTAATCGGCAGATATGTAACCTAAAACACTTGTTTTAATTGTCCTGTTTTTTTTTTAAATCAAATGTTTAAGATGTGAAACAAAGCCAACAGTTGGATTTTATGATTATTTAAAATATTTTTGTTGTCTAAAGGACTTATATTTGTTTGCTTAATAACAAAATGAATCAAAATATGCTTTCATAAACTCAATTTTAGCTCAAATTTCCTGCCTTTGCGGTCAACTCCAATTCACCTGCTCCTAATTACAGCTAAAACATGGCAAACATAAACCGCTGCATTATGGGTAATGTAGGCATCTGGTTTCCCCTCGATTATCTTGTCGGTGTAAAACAATCCAGAGACGAATGTTTGTTAAATATTTTCGACGTAAATAGGTGGCTTTGATGTTTTCCCACACTGCACTGGTTTGTAGAGGTTTGGTACTGGTTTCCAGAGCCGGTGATGATGTCACACCGAGGCTGGGTCATGTGAAGGGCAGCAGCAAGGAGGTTCACGGAGAGTTCAGCCGCATACATTAGGTAATAGCATCGCACGCCGTGACATAACTAGTGCGAAGCAGGTTGAGTTGAGACATTTATCAATAAAAAAAAAAAAAAGCGGAGATAAGATTAAAAAGTCGTTCGGCAAACTTTGTTATGCAAAACAACCAGCAGACCTGGATGCGTGGAAGCGCCCGGACTCCAGTGCGCACGCTGCGCGCCAATACGCACAGTTTATGAGGAAATTAAAGGTCTGTTCCGGCGCGCACACGTCCCTCATAGTGCGATGCTCCTGCTGCATGGTCTGCGCCTGAACAACCGGCTGTAAACCATAAACCTGCGGAAAGCCAACTGACCGTCGTCACTAACAGGAAGGACTGTGTTTTTTCTTCCTCTTCTTCATGAGGAGAGCATCTTCTCCAGCAGGACTCCGCTAAGGTCATGTTTGACTTCATGGAATTTCAGGTTTTCGGTCCGGGAGAAATCATGGACTTCTACTCGACTTCCAGCCCCGGCTGCGCGCTGCAGGACCTGGATCTGGACCTGGACCCGGACCGGGACCAAGACCGGGATCTGGCAGCGTTCTTCCCGGAGCTGATCGAGTCGGACTGGCCGGAGCATCGGTGCTCGCAATGTAGGTCTAAACACACAAAAAGACGAATAATAAAATAATTTATGTTTTTCTGATGCATATATAAAATATGTGCTGCTTCTTTGCAGTACAGATTATTATTTCCATGCATCAGATTGCGCTGAAAGGGCCTGCAAGTCATTACAAAAAAAATAAATAAAAATGATAATACATATAAATGAGAGTAGGGGGTAATAAAGTAAAATGTGACATATTGATTTATTTGATTTGATTTAATTTTTTTGACAATATATTTGGCTAAAAATGGAAACAAAAAGTGGATATAATGGTTGCACAGGTCTTCTCTTTGTTGGTTGGTATTTTATTTGCATGCCAAATTTATAGCAGTTGTTATTTTTTAACCTTAATTTCTCCTTTATTTTTTAGAAAAATAGCCCAAAGGTACGTTGTGAATGGGGCTTTTCGTATATAACAATCATTTTATATGAAGTGATTTTAAAAACAGAGGAAAACAATATCAATTTTATTAATTATTATGTCTTTGTAAAGCTTCACTTATATGCAAGTTGTTGCCTAAAGCAGTTAATTTAAAATAAAAGAATAAAAACCAGATCCTATTTTTCAAAATTTGATCAAATATGTTTGAAATTGTGACAGTTTATATAAAAAAATGCAGCAAAACACTTTTAGAAATTAGTTTTAAAAGTACAGAAATATTAAGTTTAATCAAAATAAGACATTTGCAGTATTAAACTGTTGGGACAATTTTCCACATCATTAAAATATTTAATATTTTAGTAGAGTAAGAGCTTAAGATGTGTAACTTAATGTGGTTTTTCCAGCTCATGGTCTTATAATCTAATCATAATTTTAAAAATGTGGTTAAAAAGTTTGAAATTGTGAAATTTTATTAAAAACATGCAGCAAAACACATTTAAACAATACACAAACTATTTACAATTAATGACAATAAGACATATACCTCCAAACTGGCTAGCATAAAAATATTTTAGTAGTGTTAAGAGTTTAAGATGTTTCATTTAATTTCCTTTTTATAAGTGAATGAGTGAAACTTTGCTTGTGTTTTTAGTGAATTTGTCTTATAAATATATTTTAAACTCAAAGAAAACTAAATCTCTCTAGATTATCTGTTAAAATCACATAGTTTCATTGTACACTAGAGTAGTGATGAGCAAATGTTATGTAATAATACAAACTGGGCTGCAACTAATGATTATGTTCATTATCAATTAATCTCTTGGTCTAATGATTAATCGATTAATCAGATTTAAAAATGGCACATTTTGCAGATTTTTCTTACATAATATTAGAAATGTGCTTAAAGTTTCAAATAAATAAATAATTCCTTTTGTAAAATAAGACAACAGGATTTTTTTTCGTTCGTTTGATCGTTTGTAGCAAAGGATGCATCTGCAAAATATTCTGCGTAAGGTTGATCTGTTTACATTTTCTTTTCAATTAACCAATTAATAATTCAACTGCAGTTCTGAATTTTGCAGAATTTGATCCAGGTGAAGCTACTTGAGGAGTTCTGGTTAGAACATTTTTACAGAAAAACTTATTTTCTTAATCGTAATGAAAAATGTAAATATTTTTTTTGTTCAGTTTTGTTATTTTCTCCTCAGAGTGTGTTATTCTTTCAGAAAACCTTTTTTTTTATTCTATGTACTCCAGTTACCGACTAACCGATTACTTAATTAGTAGACGGTTATTTCAGTAATCGATTAATCATGATTAATTTGATTAATCGATTCAGCCTTAGCGTGTAATAAACCACTAAGCTGGGATAAATTAGCGGCTGCAGCTTTAAGGGCCGGTCCGGACCCAGAGTGAGGTTTTACCCGCCGTCCGGTTGTTATCTGGTCACTGTGAGCCCTGTCAGTGGAGCAGAGTGTGAATGCGGAGCAGCGCAGATCCATGTGGTGGTCTGCGTTTGGGACGGGGCAGAGCCGGTCAGCTGGGGGTCACCAGCGGGTTCACGGAACGGTCACTGGCTCAGGAGGTGAGAGGAGAGACAGACTGCTTTCCAGTGAAGGTGGAAGTGGGGAACCAGTTCAGCACCAGTTCAGAAAGCATCAACTGTGCAGATCCCAACTGGGAGTAAAATCCAAATGTGTGACATGGTTACTGTCTGGTTCCATAAATCAGGAAGTACAGTTCTACTGAGCTATGAATGGTATGTAAATTAACTTTTAGAAAAGCCTGATTTACTTTAAGTAACCTTCAAACATCTGTAAAAAAAAACAAAAACTGAAAAAAATGTTATATTTCCAATGATTTTTACATTTCACCCTATTTTACAAGTTTTTTTATATGTTTTTATCAAAATATTTAATTCAGATTTCCCATTTTGAAAAAACAGCCATGTACCATTCTGAACAAGATTCTCTTATAGTTACTACATGACAGTAATTACTCTTCTCATATTTTACATCATTTTAGATATATTTAAATTAGATTAATCGTTATTACCTCAGACTTTGTTCAAAGTTTATCATCTTAAATACCAAATTATGTTTTTAAATTGCAATATTATTGAAATTAAATTTAACATAATTTATTTATTAGGCAGGTCTAAAAATTAAAACAGTTGTATTTTGAGATTATTTAGCATGACATTGATGTGAAACGTTTTTAAAAAACTTCAAATCTTCTCACTGTAGAAGCTATAATCATATTTTTTTAAGTCAGTTGCTACGTATTATTGCATCTCTATGCAGGGTTTCCTGCAGCCGTTCATCCAGCAGCCTGCCATGTTTCTGAGATAAGAAATGTTTAAAGTTGACAAGAAGTTTGAAAATATCACTTGATAATTACGTGTTATTGGAAGATTAATGCTTGAATATCGACTATAAGGTCTGAAAAATGCAAACATAAATAAACTAAAATAAATAAGCAATGCTAAGCCTGGTGGGGGCACAAGTAAAAACACGAACTCTTACCAGTCTTTGTTTATTTCTAGTGCGAACCCTTCAGTTCACTTCAAATAAGGCAAAACTAAATTACAAGTAACTTTTCAGCAACACATAGCAGCTCGTTTTAAATCAAAGTTCTGGTTCCACTGCAGATTATTTCACTTTCAACATGGCAAAAATGTTTTGTCATAAATAAAATAATCTGCCAATGGAACTGTAACTTTTTCATCAATATTAAGGAAAAATGTACTTAAAACTATCTCCTGTATCTTTCTGTTACTTCAAGCATGCTGACATATTTGCACTAAAAACTCGACCAAAATCACTTGGCTGGATTTTGTTTTTGCCGTTTCTGTTTTTCTGTTTTGCCTTTGAACAAAATCCCAGAGATTATTTACCAAAGTTCACGCAGCGGCACCTAATCCAAGCGGGGGGTGATTGTTTACCTCCCTCCCTGATCAAATCCCTCCCACGCCGCCTTCATCCTCCTCCTCCTCATCAGTCAGCGCGGCCCGCGGCGTGCTCCGGTATTGTTCTGCGTTGGGGAAACTTTCGGCCCGATGGGGGTCTGACCCGCCGACTGCAGGTTCAGTCAGAGGCCGCGGGTTCAAGGGAACGGAGATGAGCAATTCTTCTCATTTTGTCTCCCTTTTCAGAAGAGCTTTTCTTAGTTTTCTGTTGAGGAGCACAGCAGAGAAGGTGATCAGAAACGCAGGGGAGAGGTCAACCCAAACGAGCCCCGCTGGAGGAGAAAAACCAGGAGGGATGAGTTTTGATCGAACGATGCGAATGAAGACGGCTGCACTGCAAAAACACAAAACCTACCAAGGATCTTTGACCGAGTTTCCAGAGCAGTTATGTTAGTTCACTTAAAATAAGGCAAAATTAATTTACAAGTAACTTTTCAGCAAGACATAGGACCTTGTTTTAAGTAAATAATTGATAAATATAGATTTTTTTTTAATTTACACTAAAACGTAAACCAAAATACTTGGTAAGATTTTGTGTTTTTGCAGTGGTTAATGTTCAGCTTGACCTCAGAATCATTCACCTTCACAGTATTTGGTCAGCTGGGATTCAGTCCAAATTAAAAGCAAACTCGGCAATCATGTAAAGTTTTCCTTCCTATTTTTAGTTTTTAAGCTCATGACTCATTGCCCTACACTGCAAGAAAAACATCTTTAGTATTTTTGTCAAGATTCTCATGTAAACATTTTAAATAAGACAAAAATTAACCTATAAGTAACTTTCCAACAAGACAGGAGCTGATTTTAAGTCAATAATTCCTTAATATTGATGAATATTGGTAGATTATTTCACTAATAACATCAGAAAAATGCCTTGTTTAAGTAAAATAAGCCACCACTGGAACTAATACTTTTACATTAATATTAAAGGATTATTTCATCCACACAAGATTATGTATGTTGCTGAAAAATTAGTTTTATTTTATTTCAAGCATATGAAACTATTTTTCACTAAAAAGTAAACCAGAAATACTTGGTAAGAGTTTGTGTTTTTGCAGTGTATCTGCAGTTATGCTGTTTGTTTTTGTTTGTTTGTTTGTTTTTCAGAAGAAATAAAATGACACACAGCTGCTGCTTTGTGACGCTGTAAGTGAATCATTTATGGAGACAGAGTTCTCACTCTGCTAGGTTTTTCAAAGTCCCACTGTGTAGTTTTATCTTGCTTTGTATGCCAGACAAATAGCTCCACATTTAACGAGTCCAAGCTGCTTGTGAGGCTTAGAGGGGGCAGGAATGTTTTCCTCCGTCGCTGCTTCAGGAGCAGAGATAAAGACTGATGAGATTAGGGTAGATTATAATCCTCCTGCCATGATAGGTAAACAAACTAGAATGTGTCTTTATTTGGTTTAGGCAAAAGACAGAAGCAGTGTGTCTGAAAATAAGTACACCCCATGAACTGGAGTCTACCAGTTAACAATATTAGTAAATTAATTGATTATTATTTCAATAATTGATTAATGACGATTAATCATTACAGCCCCAAATAGAAGAATAGAATAGAAATATCCTTTATTGTCCCACAGTGGGAAACGTCTGTGCAAATAATCTCACACAATATAACAGGATAAATGATAGAAATATTTTACAGTAAGGGCAAAAATTCAACATAAATACCAAGTAATTATAAAACTAGTCCAGAGAAAAGTGCAACTGAGCTGATTAATAAAAAAAAAATACACAAAATATACAAAATATTTACAGTTAATAATAATAAAAACTTTCTTGCTGTACCTGTACAGAAGGAAAGTTGTACAGATGCCAGCATGGATGTAAAACATGTCTGAAAATAACCCCTAAAAACAAAGAGTCGCTATGCATTTAACCAGGATGAATCGATTAATTGTGATTAATCGATTATTGAAATAATGGTGAACTAAAGAAAATGCAATTTGCTGAGAGAACAAGTCAAATCTGTACAAAAGATGTATACATCTTACATTTAAGATAAAAAAACAAACATTTTCTGAATATATGTTTAACCCATAACTCTTAAAGTGACGTAGTTTTAGCTACACCTGGTTCTGATTCGGTAAAACAAATCTCCGATTAATTGATTAATCGATTACTAAAATAACCGTTAGTTGTTTTTCTATGTCATACCACTGCGCACATCCTACCAGAAATCTTTCTAAAGTAAATCCCAAAGGTCCTGGTGAACTTTGACCTCGAGTATTGTCTCCCTGCTGAAAGATTCTTAACTTATCTCTGTTTTTAGTCCCGTGTGAATCACACTGTGTTTTTGTGGAAACATGCTGTGTGTATAAGGTTTGTTCTGCTGAGGATCTTGGTCTCTTCAGCAGTGTTTTTATGGTTGTTGCTCTGTGTGTTTCACAGCAGTGGAAAGCCAGAGCTCCAGCTCCAGCTCCAGTTTGGACGACCTGTTTGCCAGTCCGCTCTCCCCTCCTCCGCCCCCGCGCACCTACAAGCCCTGCTTCGTGTGTCAGGATAAATCATCAGGTTACCACTATGGAGTCAGCGCCTGCGAGGGCTGCAAGGTAACACTTCATTCATTCATTCATTCACTCATTCAACAGCTTCAATTTAACAAAAGTATCATTTGGATGTGGTCTAGTCAAAGCCCAGACCCGCATCTGGTTGAGAATCTGCAGGATGATCTGTGGACAGGAGGCACTAATGTCCAGACAGATCTGGAGCCGAAAGTTGGCTAATTGGGTCAATTTCAATCCCAAAAGATTTCAGTTCAGCTGCACAAGTTACAGGTCACACTGAAGGTGACACCGAGAGGCTTTGGTCTCATTTTTATTCAAAATTCACATTTTGCGTATTTTGTTCTTCTATTTGGATCTAAACTGCGTCTAAAAACAGATCAAGCACTTCAAACAACACCCAGCTGTGTTTTGGCAGTAAGTTAAGGATTTTTGATGTCTGGAAAACGGGCCATTTCAAAAACCTCCCGAATGTTGAGCTACAAAAAAACTGCGCTGTTACCTAGCAACCCCAGTGGAATTCCACCTGTCACCTAGCAACCCACGCTGATCTTCAGCACATCTGGTCAGCTGGTTTTACTTCTGTATGCGCTGTACAATGGCTACTGGAAAAGACAAATGTTTTGTGTTGACCTGTCATTCAGAAACCACTTGCGGCATTCTTGTTGGTTGTGCAGGAGGCTCTATTTCTGCTTTTCAAAGATGTATGTTCAGGGGCTAATAGCAACTTATTTGGATTTAAAGTGATAAGAGCCCCTAAAACAGCTCATTCTGAAAAGATGTCTAAATATGAGGACCAAACAGACTAAATTCTCATTATATAAGGTTGATTGTGTGCAAAAAAAGTAATGAACATGTTTTTCACACATCATAGAGCTATCCTAACATGTTCAATGCAGCACAATAGGCCATAAGGTGTGTGGAGTTTTTGTTCCACTGTAAATTAAACCTTAAAGCATCTGAAGTTCCCACAAGACAACATCAGGTATTTCCTTTGACTGAGATAATCTGTTGTGTGTCTCTGCAGGGTTTCTTCCGCCGCAGCGTGCAGAAAAACATGGTGTACACCTGCCACCGTGACAGAAACTGCATCATCAACAAGATCACCAGGAACCGCTGTCAGTACTGCCGCCTGCAGAAGTGCTTCGCCGTGGGAATGTCCAAAGAGTGTAAGTGTTGGTTTTACTCTGATTCAGCAGAAAGCCCCATAAGAGACTCACTGGGAAAAATAACCTGCAATTCAGGTGTTAAAGTCATGATTTGAAGAATAAATTACATTATAATATATTCCTCTCATTCCAAGTACACTTAAGGCTGATAAAAATACTTTATTGGATTAAACTAAATATGTTTTTAACATCCAAACTGCAGCCAATCAGTCAATGATTCAAGTTGATGCAGGCAGAGAGCAGCTAGAAAAAGCTCTGAAATTTTGAGATTAATCTCAAAATAATTTTTAGGGTGTTAGGACTTCTGAAACTCAGAACTTTCCAGAAAATTTTCTAGAAAATTTCAGAGATTAATCTAAAAATTTCAGAGGTTTTTCCAGCAAGTATTCAACTTCGCAAACTCAGAAATTTTTTCTGTTTTCTTCTACAAAATTTCTGATAATAAAACAATAACATTTCTGAATTTGAAAAGTAAAATATTTGCTAGAAAAAACTCTGAAATTTTGTTCATTTTTTTTTCTAGAAAATTTCTGATATTAATCTCAAAATTTCAGATTTTTTTCTAGCAAAGTTTTGGTTTTTCAAACTAATAAATTTTGTTGGCTTTTCAGAAAATTTCTAGAAAAAACAACAACAAAATTTTAGCGCTTTTCTTACCAAATATTTTACTTTTTATTCTCAGAAATTTTATTGGGGTTTTTTTTCTAGATTTTTTTAAAGCTTAATCTTGACTTTTCAAACTCTGAAATTTTGTTGGTTTTTCTAGAAGATTTAGAAGATTTCTGAGATCAATCTCAAAATTTGTACAGCTTGCAAATTTTAAATTTTTGGAGATAAAAAATTTCCTTGATTTTCTAGAGAATGTGTGCTTTTTGTCAGAAGTTTTAAATGAGATTTATTTCTAATTTGTAACACAACAAAAAGACATTTTCTTCTAGAAAAATTCTGAGAATAATTTCACCATTTCTGAGTCTTATAGCAAATCTTCAGCTTTTGGAGGACAGAAATGTCCTTTCTTTTTCTAGAAAATTTTAGTTTTCTGGCATTAATTTTAATTATAATTTATTTCTAATTTTTAACACAACAATATATTAACACCATATGTATTTCAAGTTATGACATGAAACAGTAGTTTAAATTATAAACATGAAAAAAATAAATACAAAAGAAAAGCCCAAGAAAACATTTCCAATGTTTTCATGAATTTATTCCTTCTTTCCCATCTGCAGTGGTCCTAATCTTCCATCGTAAATGTTAAACATATTTAAAATTTAAACGTTAAGTAACAGAGAGTTGTCTCCATTTACTGAGCAAACACCCATTATTAAGATCAAAAAGCATCAGTTTTCAAAGGATATTTTCCTTTTTTTAAAACCACTCAGAGCTCATTCACGTTCCGAAGCTTCGGCGCATCCAGCCAGAGGAGTTCGTCCTTTCAGCTCCCGTCCCACAGCCGCTCCAACTGTTGCAGGCTTATATAACCTGAACAGTCCACTGAGCAGAAAGCTGAACGTCTCCTCTGTCTGAAACACTCTGCCTGGGTAAAAATGATCAAACATTCAGCCGAGTGGCCCATTTACTGCGCCGCATTCAGGACAGGAAGACGCCAGAGGAGCTTTTGCCCTGAGTCTCGCCTTTCAGGCTGCATGCAGGCTCTCCTGTCCTCTATTGGCTGAGGTTATTAGAGCTGAATGCAGCCCGACATAAAGTGCTACGGACACCATTCAGAAGTGAACACGATTTCCTTTGGACCGTGAATCTACCAGTCAGGACAAAAATATTAGCACTCTGGTAGATTTAGATTCATTATTATTCTTGTATAACCAAGGATTTCATTTGACTTTGAAGACAAATAATCAATCTGTCATCATCTACATTGCTCAAGATGACCTGCTATGCTACCTTAAACAGCTTAGAATATTTGCAAGAATAAACTCAGAAATTTTGAGATTAATCTCAGAAATTTTCTAAAAAAAAAAAACAATTAAATTTCAGTTTGAAAAATCAAATATTTGCAAGAAAAAACTCAGAAATTTTGCTGATTTTATTCCAAGAAAATTTCTGAAATCTCAAAATTTCAGAGTCTGAAAAGTCAAATATTTGCTAGAAAAACTATTTTCCGAAATCTTCTTAAAAAAAAAAAGAAAAAGAAATTTCATAGTTTGAAAAGTTGAATATTAGCTATAAAAAACTGAACATTTTAGATTAGTTTCAGAAATTTTCTAGAAAAACAACATTTCTGGCTTTACAAAGTTAAGTATTTGCCAGAAAAAAAATGAAATTTTGTTGATTTTTTTGTAGAAAATTTCTAAAATTAATCTAAAAATTTCAAAGTTTGAAAAGTTAAATATCTGCTAAAAATATTAAAATTATTATATTATTCTCAAGAATATTCTAGAAGAAAACAAAATTTCTGGGTTTGAATAGTCAAATATTTGCTAGAAAAACGTCAGAAATGTTTAGATTAAATACAAAAACATGCACCGGTCTGAGCAGCGCTGCTCAGTGAACAACCGAAACGTGGAGCTGTGTGATGCAGTGACCTAGAAAACTGAGAATGTGTTACATGGCATGGGGAGGCTGCAGGATCCACCCAGCTTCATTTTCTCATTGTTACTCACCCACATTCAGACATAAACACATTACATAAACACATCACATGTATGAGACAGTTGTACGCCATGTAACTGCTCCCAAGCCGCTCAGCAAGTGTGTAATACGATCGCTGTCTGTTTACCAAATGACTGCTGGATGTAGGGCATCCAGAGCGAGGAGGAGGAAGAGGAGGAGCCGGCGGTTGGAGGGAGGGAGGAAGGTAGAGGCTGAGCTGTTGCGTAATCCAGAGCTTCCCTGACATGTGCGTAGCTGCCTGAGCCAAGTCAGTGGGACGACCCAAAACGTGTCGACACCAAAGCGATTATGAAAGTCTAACCTGGATATTTACCTGGAGGCGAAACGCAGAGACCTGCTTTCACTGACGCAGACGAGAGTTGAGACAAAGCTGAAGGACTAGTTTTAAAAAACATTTCTAGTGTTTAATATAAATGTTTTAAAAATAAATGTATTATTAAGTAAATACGTTATTTATTTATATAAGTAACAAAATAGTTTTCATTTACAAATAAAAATATTTATTTGCTTATGCTTCTTTTTAAAACTTTCTAAATTGAATCTAATTTTAGTAAGTTGTATTTTGTTTCTTCGACTTGCCTCTGGCTGAAAGGATCTATTTAAATAAAGTTTCCTTAGTTAGTTTTGAGTTTGTGTGTAAGGTAATTTTATTTATATCACATTTTCAGCAACGAGGCATTTTAAGGTGCTTTACATGAATTACAGGAATTACAAACAAAACAAAAAAACTGAATAAAAACCAAACAACAACAAAAGTCATTTCTGAACTAATAGGAGTTTCTCTGGATCCTCAGCTTGTTCTAAGGTTTTATTTATAGCAGGTGAGGCTCTGAGTGAACTCTTTAAACAGGAATTGACAGAATAGTTCTGTTGTTTGCCCTTTCAAAAGTTAAGACACAGTCAAGAGGCACAGCACTGTTACCTAGCAACCACAGCCAAACCCAGCCCGTTACCTAGCAACCCACGCTGAGCTCCAGCACATTTAGTCAGCTGGTTTATGGCTGCAGTTGTTGACTTACCTTCCAGAAACCATTTGTTTCATTCTTGTTGGTTGTGCAGGTGGCTCTACTAATGCTTTTCAAAGATGTGCGATTTTATAATTGCAATTCTGTTTGCAGCAATTTTCACATAAAAGTATAAGCGTTGAGTGGGGGCTGTGACCAGTAGCAGATTATTTGGATATAAAGTGACAAGACGCCCTAAAACATCTCATTGTTCTGAAGGAGCTCAACTGACCAAGCAGAAATCTAACTAAGGATAATTTTGAGGAAAAAATTAAATGAATATGATTGTTTAACACTTAGACCTGTCCTAACAGGTTCAAGGAAGCAGAATAGATTTTGTCAGAGGCCTCACAAAATCAGTTCAGGTACCGCAAATGGCCCCCGAGCCACACTTTGAACAACCCTGAATGCTGTATTCTGTTAACATTGTTTCATTCACTTCATCCCTCCTTCCCAGCGGTGAGAAATGACAGAAACAGGCGGAAAGGTAAGAAGGAAGCAGTGAAGATGACCGTCATGGAGACGTACGAGCTGACGGCCGAGCTCGGCCTGATCGTGGAGAAGATCTGCAGGGCGCATCGAGAGACCTTCCCCTCCCTCTGCCAGCTGGGGAAATACACCACAGTGAGTCCAACAGAACGCCTGAATACAAAGAAACATAATAATAATAATAATTACACAAACAGAGAATTACACAGAGAAAATCAAATTAGTTCCTCCATGTCCAGCTGTACATAATTTATTGACTTAAAGATTGGAAGATAGTAGACTCAACTCAAATGTTTTACAGTGTATAATTATATATAGAACCAGTATTTCTTTGTACAAAAAAACAAGACTGAGGTAAAAATGTAAACAACAGGATGGCATTAAGCATATAAAATATCCACAGAAAACACCGAGGGCTGTGAGCCGTCGACCTTTGAACATGTAGAGCTTTTCCTGTTCGGGATTATTGGTTGGACGTCGTGGCGTCTGCTGCGATCCGCTGCAGAGAGGGATTTAAGATAATCGGCATTTAAAGCTCTGCAGATCTGGTCATTATTCAGAGAGCCTCTCGTTTCTGAAAGGTCAGAGCTCAGCGGAAGAGTGGCCGAACAAATGCCTGCTCCTGTCACTTTCTGTCCGAATCACAGCGAGGAAACGCAGCATAATGCAGCAGCAAGAAGGAAAATGTTTCATTTCATTTCCACCCATTCTGCGTCTGTGGACGGCGTAATTCTGATGAGGTCTGGACGTCTAATGATGACGATGGGGACGGGATTCGATCGTGTCTCAGCAGAACAAAGGTCTCACAAATTAAACCTGCGTTGTCCAGACAATGGCGCCTGTCCCTGTGATGGCCCTGATTGGCCGGTCATTAGCCCCCTCGCTGAGCTCATCAGACCCATTCCTTTTTCTGTCTTGAAACTGCTGATTCACGTCACGTCTCCAGATCAAACCGTCAGATCAGTGAACTGGGCGGATTTCAGTTGTTTCCGACTCCAACAATGAAAAATCGCAACATTTCACCAAGTATTTTCGGTCGAGTTTCTTGTGCAAATATCTTGGTACACTAGAATAAAGACAAAACTAAATCACAGGTAACTTTTCAGTGAGACACAGGAGCTTATTTTAGGTTAATAATTCCATCATGCTGATGAAAAAGTCTTTTTATAAGTGAAATAATCTGCAAGTGGAACTATTATCTTTCAAAATCAAAATTAAGGAATTATTTACTTGAAACAAGCTCCTATATGTTGCTGAAAAATTACCTGTAAGTAGATTTTGTATTATTTCAACCATACTAAGATATTTGCACTAGAAACTAAACCAGAAATATTTGGTAAGATTTTGTGTTTTTGCAGCAAAGGAAGCGTCTCGTTTGTTAATTAGTCTTTAAATTAGGCAAACATGCGTAGAGTTGTGTTCAACAACTATGTAATTATTGTTTTTGTTATAATTATACTAAATATAAATGGTTAGAATTGCATTACGTACAACTACAAAATCAGTTGCTAAGTTATAATTACCACAACAAAATAAAATCTATTTTAAATCTGTCTTAAAAAGTAAGTACACTCTTTGATTCAGTTGTAAAAGCCACCTTTAGCAGCAGCATCTCCAAAATTATTTTCTGTTTGATTTTTTTTGTCTGGCCTCATCTGCAAATAGTCAAACATCTAAAGAAACAAATTTTTATGTATTTTGTTTTCTCGTCCACATGAAAACGGCTTAATATTGCCAAAAATGATCAAACTACACTGGCTCTCTGTGTTTGCGTGTGTAAACGACGCATTAAAGTCAATTTATCCACATATTTGCCTCGACACGATTCCCAACCAACATTATGTTGTTTTTTCAATAACTTTATATTCTAATATGCTATTTAAAAGTAGCTAAAACTGTCTTGTAAGCGAATATACAAGCACATCTTTCCTCTCTTAATCAACCACTAAACAGTAGAAGAAAATAAAGACAATCAACAAACGGTGATTTTTGCATTAATTACATCAAATACGAGACGTTTCATGCAACAAATAAGGAGCAGCCACCTCTTTCAGGAAGAGAACGTGTTTCTGTAATCATGACTCACTAATCACAGGGATTCACGTTGCTCTGGAGTGTCCTTTACAAAAACACTGTTCTGTTACATAACTGTGGTTCAGTGAGTCACTGGGAGTGATCGACGCTAAACATAGGAAATGGGATGGGAATGAAACGCTGCTGGACTCGAGCAATGCTTCCTGCTCTGTCACTGTAAAAGTAAAAGATAGTGATCCACATTACTTATTAAATTAGTTTATGAAGCTGCATAGACCAGACAGAATCATTTTTACAGTGCTTTAATAATTTACTTATTTTTAATTGTGGTTTTCTGTCTGCTTTTTAAAAAAAAATCTATCCTTAATTTTAATGACAGATTCTTTATTCTGTATAGAAAAGGCTCACCAGATTCTAGATTTTTTTCTTTTGTAATAGAGGATTCTGTTCCAAAGTCTGAAAATAGAAATAAAGTTTAATTTAACATTGCTGGCTTTCGTAGTAAAACTATTTGTACATATGTAGAAAATAATTTTATTTAGTAGCAGAGGCAGAGGCAAAAGTGTCTTTTTGAATGGAGCAGGTTGCTGGCCCCTGCCCTGTGTGCTTGCAGTAAATTTTAAACGTGACCTTTTGCTTTCTTTACACTACTGCCTTTGTCTGCGTCATATTTGTACGTCATATTTGTGGACTGTGTGACTAATAGTGTCAACAGTATGTGCGTCAAATCATTCAAGTGGAGATTACATTGAAAAAATGTAAAAGTCTAATCTAAAACTACAGGAAAAAGTTGAAGTTGTATTGTTGTCTTTAGAGCTGGGATTGATTTTGAACGTGTTTTATCTTAGCAGGATGTGAATTAATACAAGCAGGAACAAACTTGCCTTGTCATCCACTGTAAACTACTTTTGTGTGATTAGTTCAGTCACACACACCCATGAGTATCAGGAAAGCCTGACAGGTCACAGCACAGTCAGCACTGTTACATAAGTTATTCTGGTATATCCAGGAACATAATAATGCTCCACATGCTTGTGGTTTGTTGTTCTGTGTCAAAAGGGAACATTATTAGACTACTGAATGCCTGGGAATCTTTTAGAAATGACACTTCCTGGTCTGGAATCTCATTGAAATGACACTTCCTGGTCTGGAATCTCATTGGAATTCATTTCATGTGTGAGAATATTATTTATTTAATTTATTTTAATTTTAACAAGGTCAGCTTTTTTATAGACAAAAGAATTCTGCTTGTAGTGAGACATCTTACTGTGTATCTTGCTCACCTCTGTTCACATTAGCTTACAATATGGATTGGCTATTTTCTGACGGTTTCTCTATTTTCTGTTTGATTTTGCCTGGTAGCTGAAATAAACGATATGAATTAGAAGGTGTACTTGATTTATAAGTTAATGCTGAGTTGAACCTATCTTCAACTGAAAAATAGCAGAAGGCTAGCCAATTAGCATCAAACACTGTTACGAAGGTAATGCTAGCTTATAATAGAGCAGAAATTAAAAACATTAAATAGACAAGCTACAAAGACACTAGTTAAATTAGCGCTGAAATTTACATATCAAAGCGTTAGTTTTAACGATATGCATCATCATATATGTTATCATATGTGAATATGTTATATTCTACATAAGTGCCACCAACGGTTCAACGTATTCCTTAGACTCCTTAGCTGCCCAACAAGGTGCCTGATGTAAAACATAGCGATTAACATTAAAGAAAAACAAACAGTATTCCTAGGACATTTATATCATTCCAGTCACCGCGGGCTCTTTACATTTTCCCTCCAAGCAGTCATACTTTTATCACTATTTTAAAGTGATCTTGATAAACATTTCTCTGAAGTTATCATATTGTTTTTCTTTGTATTTTGGCTGCTTAACATCAGTTGCATCTTAAGAGCTTTTTTACCTGTTTTTAAAGTTCAGTGAAAAACAAACAAAAAAGCAAAATACAGTCCTTCAGTGACACAGGTGTACTATTGATCAGGATTTTTTAAAAATTACAAGAACATTTGGCTGTGTTAGAAAGAAAAGCTAAAGAAATAAGTAAGAGAAAAAGTTATAAAGCATTCATAAACCAAAACAACTTTTTCCAACTTCTTACTTTTTACTTAAAATGATGATGCAGGAGGTGTATATCATCTGTTTTTTAAAATCCCAGTAATAATTATACAATGAATTGTTTTTTATTTTTTATAATTTTAAACTCCTCCTGTATCTGTTGGAGGCTGTAAACATCGTTTGCGTTTCCTCTTCCACCCAGAATTCCAGTTCAGACCACCGGATCCAGTTGGACCTCGGGCTGTGGGACAAGTTCAGCGAGCTTGCCACCAAGTGCATCATCAAGGTGGTGGAGTTCGCCAAGAGAGTCCCAGGCTTCACAGGCCTGACCATCGCCGACCAGATCACTCTGCTGAAAGCCGCCTGCCTTGACATCCTGGTAACCAGATCTGATTTATCTGCTTCACACTGAGGGCATTTATTCACCTTCATGTTTAACTGTCATTATCTACGTTTGAAAATGGAGCAAAATGACCAAAAATACCAGTAACCGCTCAATATGACAAATTGTACAAACACACATAACAGCTGCTCATGATTTCTTTCTGATTCTCTGAATAAAACTTAAATTTATGACATGTAAATATGAATAATAAAGGACATATGTCATAATTTTTAGTTTTCACTTGTGTTTTGGCTTAGAGTGAATAATTATATTTAATTTTATATCAGAAAAGGAGGAAGGGTAAAGGAAAGAATAAAGGAGGGAGAAAAAGAATGGAGGAAGGAAGGGAAAGTAGGAAGGAGAAAAGGAAGGGAAGGAAAAAAGAGCAAAAGAAGGAGAAACAGAAGGAACGAAGGAGACGAGGAAGGAAAACTGAGAAAAAGTAAGGGAGGGAAAAGGAAATGAAAGAAAAAGAAAAGGAAGGAAAGAAGGAGACAAGGAGGGAAAAAGGTGAAAGGAAAGAAGAAATGAAGGCAAAACGAAAAAAGGAAATAATGGAAAAAAGAGGAAGGAAGGAATGAAAAAGGAGGAGAAAAAGAAAGAAGGAAGTAGAAAAAGAAGTAAGAAAGGACGGATGGAAATAAAAGAGGGAAGGACAGAATAAGAGAAGGAGGAGAAAATTAATTTAAAATAAATCTTTCTAACTTTGAGTGAGCGGTGACATTTTCCCTCTTCTTGTCTCAGATCCTCAGGATTTGCACTCGCTACACTCCGGACCAGGACACCATGACGTTCTCCGACGGCCTGACTCTGACCCGCAATCAGATCCACAACGCCGGCTTTGGGCCGCTCACCGACCAGGTCTTCACGTTTGCCGGTCAGCTGCTTCCTCTGGAGATGGACGAGACGGAGAGCGGGCTGCTCAGCGCCATCTGCCTCGTCTCCGGAGGTACCGGCCCGTCTCACGTGAGTTACGCTTCGCCGCCGCCTGAGGTAACCCCGTCTCTGTGGCAAACAGATCGCCAGGACCTGGAGGAGCCGTCGAAGGTGGAGGTGCTGCAGGAGCCGCTGCTGGAGGCGCTGAAGATCTACTCGCGGCGGCGCCGACCCAGCATGCCCCTGATGTTCCCCAAAGCCCTGATGAAGATCACCGACCTGCGCAGCATCAGCGCTAAAGGTGAGAACGACCAAAACGTTTAATTCAATCAGGAACCTTCCCCTAGTTTTCTATAACAAATTATGTTACATTTACTTGAGTAACTTAAAAAAAAAAAACTTTTAGGAGTATCTTTACTACATTGTTCTTTTTATTTTTACTTGAGTGATTTTATTATGAAGTATCGCTACTTGTACTTGTTTTCCTAAGGTACCTCAACAGAAAAGAAGATGCATAACTAGAAAGTTTGTCCAAAAGTCTCATATATGTACAACTACAATTTATCCCTATTTTTATTCCAATAGGGACACCTACTGTCAAAGAGGTGAACTGCAGTAAGAGCAGAGCTGGGTAGTAACTACATTTACTTAATTACATTTACTTGAGTAACATTTTTGAAAAAAAAAAAAATTTTAGGAGTATTTTTACTATGCTGTACTTTTTACTTTTACTTTAATAATTTCATTATGAAGTATTTCTACTCTTACTTGAGTTACATTTCTGGATTTTCTACCTACTGAATGAAAAACCAAAAATCCCCCAGACACAAACACACACCTGCAGTTTTTGTTAAAGTTTCATCCGTTTTTTTTATTGAAAAAAACTGATTTGGAAACATTTTCTTTGGCCTGATTTTGTTGTTTTGTAATTATGTTAATTCTAAGAATCATTTTGGTTTTTAAAATTAAAGTCTTCACTTAACTTTATATTTTGGTCCATCTGATTATGTAATTTTTAGATATTAAATGACTGGTAATTTGATCAGTTACTCAATATTTGAGTTTCATTTTTACCAAATACTTTTGACTTTTAGATTTGTTGAAATAGTGCTACTCTTCCTTGAGTAAATTTTTTGGGTACGCTACCCTGTGAATGAGGGTGAATAGCAGCTCTGCGATGTTGACAACCTCTTGGTGAAAATCCTGACAACTCGTTTTGAATGCAGAACATTAGCCGTTGTTAGCTAGTTAGCTAGCTACCGGTAGCCTCAACTGCCAGTGCGACTCAAACTTTTGCCTGACGGAAAAGTCAAGAGAGAAATAAAAATAAATAAATAAAAAAAAAAACTACATGCAATACGAGATGAAACTGTGATTAACATATTTATGGCCAACTTACATTTTTAAAAATACATTTAAGATAGGTTAAGGCCTTAATTTTACATGCCTCAATACAAGGCAACTTAAGGACGCACGGATACGCTGATGTTGATGTTTGTTCTTTTTTTTTAGCCTACTGTATTTTCTGGACTATCTAGCACACCTCAGTATAAGCCGCATCTACAAAGTTATCTAAAAAAAAAAAACTGGAAACGTAAGCCGCTGATATCTCCAACCTCTCTCGGTTTTTCACTTAATAAATCTGCTGGATTTATTAAGGACGCAGCCCTGCGTCTCCAACGCCGAACCATGGATTCATTCACGCCAAGCTTACATACAGCGGCTCTATTTCCCTCCTGTACTGCCAGATTGATAGCATTGACTTAAAAGCTGCATCATATGAACTTCTTCGTGTGGTTTCCATGAGGACGAGGTACGAGTTTGAAAACATTTCTCAGTGGCTGCTAGCACTTCTTTGCTTTCCAATTTTGACTTCCAATGATTCACTTCCTACTAAAGAGCCCCTGGTGGTTGAAGAAAAATCCACATAAAAGCTGCATCGGGCTATACGCCGCTTGATTCAAAGCGTGGGGAAAAAAGTAACAGCTTATAGTCCGAAAAATACCGTAACTTTGAGGTCTATTGAAACGCGTTGTGTGTGTTCCTGCAGGAGCGGAGCGCGTTGTGACGCTGAAGATGGAGATCCCCGGCTCCATGCCTCCTTTGATCGAGGAGATGATGGAGGATCTGCAGAACCTGGAGACCAGCCAGCACTCACACAGCCTCTCCTCTCACTCTCAGCACACACACTGCTCCGGCCTCGCAGTCTGAAGACACCGCAGAACCTTTTCTTCCTCCCCAGAGAGAGATTACTAACGATGTAAAAGTGCAGATGCAGTCCAGAAGGTCACTAGTCTCTTACCTCCGTGAAACGTCCGGGAATATTTCAGAGTTAGATCTGCAGACATGACAAATGAGATTCAGCTTTCACATTAACAACATGGTAGTTGCTGTGAGATGAAATCCTGCTTCGATGGAAGGAACAAGTAGAACGATGCAGTAACGTTATAGTCTCTCTTTTTGTTTTCCTGCAACGTTTTGGCAGGAACCTCATAACCTCTGAGAACCACTCTCAGCTTTTGTTTACCATATCTGGGTCTTACTGTATTTATATTTGCATGATGACTTATTAATTTTTACCTCATTGAATAACGCCGTCAGTATTCGTGTAGAAAGAGAGGGCACATGTGGAAAGGATTTGTTAAAGCTTTTTAGTTTCTTAAGCAGAGGGAAACAAAAAAGGGAAAAGGTTAAACATTTAACTTGTTCCCATATTAATGTAGGGGACATGACAGAGGAAAGAGGACATTTACGTCATCCAAATAGCAAACATGAATTCTTTAACTGACATGTTTTTGTGATGAAACAAAAATAAATCCTGCAAAAACACAAAATCTTAAATATTTTTGTCATGTTTCTGGTGCAACACTTGAAATCAGGCAAAACTTACTTATAAGTAACTTCTCAGCAAAATATAGGAGCTTTTTAAGTCAATAATTTATTAATACTGATGGAAAAATACTAGATTATTTCATTTATAAGACGGGAAATAGGTCTTGTTAAATAATCTGCAATATTCATTATTAATATTAAAAAAAATCATTCTTGCAGGAAAAGTTACTTTCAGGTTAGTTCTGTCTTATTTCAAGTGTACTAAGATATTTGCACAAGCAACTAGACCAAAAATATGTGGTAACATTTTGTATTTTTGCAGTAAAGATAAATAATTTCAAAACTTTTAAAAACTTTAGAGCCAAAAGTTGCAGTAACTTTTCGTCTATGTGTTCACATTCTCTAACTAACAATCAAGTGAATCACATTTTATTTTCATTTCCACATTCAGTTGGACCACAGCTGGGAATGACACGGTTTTTTCCTGTCAGATTTAGTTATGGACTTTGACTAGGCCATCCTAAAACATTGATTTTCCTGTTCAGAAGACATTATTTGGTTGGATGTATCCTCTTCATCTTCAGCTGTTTCAACAGATACCTGAGGTTTATTGGGTTTAAACTGACTAATGTTGGAACCATTCGTACCTTCATTCAATTTAACGAAAAGCTGAAGTTCCATAGATGGGTAAAAATAACTACCACCATGTTTCACTGTGGGTCTGGTGTTCTTTGGTGATGTGCAGTGTTGTTTCTGTGTGAGACGTTTTTAGAATTATGGCACAGAAGTTAACGTTTGATTTTGTTTCATACTTTCTTCTGTAAGGCTTTGAGAAATTTTCCAAATCCAGACATTTGGAAAACAGGAGATTTCTGTTTATGTCTGCCTCCAAACAAATTATTCTGTTTTATCAACAGTCTTGGAGAAATTTCTCTAATGTCACTGCCTGACTATATTTCAATGGTTTCTAATTGCCTCCAAACGTAACGCCGTTTTCTCTGAAGTTCTCATAAAGTCCAGCTAACATTAAAATCCCTTTAAATTCCTGGAGAGACCATATTATAGGATCTGTGCACATTTTAAAATAACATTATTTTACCTTATAGTGCAGCAGGAGTAGCTTTATTGGAAAAAAAAAATAGCCACTGAAAAATTCAACATGGCGGCCATTTTTCAAGATTAAAAATACATTTTTGCACTAAAATCACCAATTAAATTATTGTGTTTGGTGTCAAATCATAGCCAACATATTTTAAACCATAGAAATTATACATATCTTTTATTTCTCTTGTGTTCCTCTTTCTGATGGACATTTTTCAAAATGGTTGTAGTTGAGACGTTTGGACCAAAATTGGCAGCAGTAACCTCTGACCACGAATTCACTAAAGAGTTTAACTACACAAATGTTATTGAAAACTGCTATTTAAAAGTAGCATGTGTGAATTTTTAGATACATAAAAATGTACACATGCTAACTCTAAACTGCTAAATATATGAAAAAAAATTAACGCAAGCTAATGCTAAACCACTAAACACATCAAAATAATTTGCTCTGCTAGTGCTATACTGCTACATTTTAATGCAAGCTAATGCTAAACCGCAAAAACAAAACTTAGAAGCTCACCATTAAGACAATCGATTCTGTCACATCTTCATCGCTAACAGCTAGTTCTCAGTTTCAGTTTTTATGTCTGATTTTGGTTCATATCATCACTTTAAATGACCGAAGTCAAAAACATATGATGCGATAAAGTTCAACCAAGTGGTGAAAATGGATCACATTTTATGGCAATAACTGGTTTTAAAGTCTCAAAAGCGGCGGCCATCCTGAAGCTGAAGTGCCTCATGGGGGAATTTAAAAGGAATACAACAGAAATATTCATACTTGCATCCACAGTTGAAGTATTTTACAGATTTGCTGCACTGTTACTGGTCAGGAAAAGTTTTTGTGGTCGTTGCTAAACGTTGGCCTGACATTTAACGAAGAAGAAAGTAACCAAGTGGTGGAAAAGATTTTGTGTAATTTGAAGAAAAGAAATCCTATAATGGGGAGTCATTATTAAAGGACCGTAGATTAAACATTTAGTAACTTTATCTTCTTTTTAATCTTTAAACGTGGTCACTGAAGGGCAGACCGGCACACACACAGCTGACACCAGATATTTACATTTACATGCTGAAAATGTAGATGATTTCTTGAGATTCTGTTATTTTTCCATTGTGAAAACATGACGGTTTAATAAAGGTGTTTTACACTTTTTATATCCACTGTACGTGTGAGAAGACGTAGTAACGTTTGAGCTCGTTTTGTTGTCAGCTTTGCAGAGGCGCTCCAGCATAATGAAACATTTATCACCATGCTAGTAAGCTAAATATTAAATACTTTTATCTTAGACTTCATGAATGAAATTATCTAAATGCAGATTACCATTATTATTAATTTTTGTTGGTGGAAATATTTTTTCTTTGTTCTTTTTATCAGGATTAAACATATGAACCATAAAAGGATTTTGTAGCCTTTGTTGCACTGTGGGGTAGATTAGTTTACATCCTCTATTCTATTTTTATTTCCTGTTTCCAGTTTAACTACAAAATTAATGTTCTTATCAGTCTGAGCTGCTTGTTGTTTTTGCTACACTGTGTTTGTGACAAAGTGGCAAACATAACTAAAGAACATTAAAAAAAACATTTTAGTAAACTTGAAAATTGTTGTATTAATTAGAAGAAGGAAAAGTTGGTCTGAAATTAAAGATGTTCATTTTGGAGAATCAGAAATAATGATATGAATTATAAGTTATTGGATTTAAGCAGCTTAACCTGCGTCCTATAAAAACTCACATGTGCCTGCCAGTAATGTGCCAACATTTTCCAACATTTAGTTTTTACTTTTCTCTTTTTATGTTTCTGCTACAAACCAGCGCAGTGTGAAAACTGTTTGTACATACGATCATTTTTCATTTGTAAAATTTCATTTATGAAATCATTAAACATTCACTGTTTTTCTTTGTCTATATTTTGTTTTGTTTATTGAACTTTGCCATCGTTATTTAAAAATGTTCTTCACTGACAAGCTCAAGTTTTACGTTACTTCCCTTTATTAACGTGGACTGCAGCGCCCCCTGTTGGGTCAGTAGGAGACTGCTCACTTTGCGCCCACTGGTCTGTTAAACAGTAAATTAAATCCCTAAAGTACAGAGTTACTGCTCCGCATTTCACAATATTAACAAGCCAGTTTCTTTCTTTCTTTTCTTAAAAATATACAGTGAACTTTCTGCAGGTTAAAAACAAACATTGTAAAGATGGTTTTATTTTAAAGTTGTTAATTTTTAAGTTTAGTTTTGCTTCAGTCTTTTATATCAAGCCATAACTGCTGTGGAAAAACAAACAAGATGTTACTTCATGGACATAACCTTAAACTACTAAATGCCTTAAATCAAAATTATGTGAACAAAATAACATGAAATAAGTTGTTTATGTTGATCAGCTTTTATAACCGAAAGCAGATGAATACAGAATAGTTTTTTAAATCAAAGTGCAGAAGAAATCTTATATTTAAACGCTCTTTACATTTGTTTTTTTTCACTCTGTGTAGATAATTTATTTCAGTTCAAACTGCACCCAGCACAAATGTGCAGAAATCCCCCATGTGAACTGGTTTTTACATTTACCTGCAGTCAGACAGTGAGACGTGCTCAATCAAAGTGAAAGCTCTTATCAGCCCTTTGACAGATATACGAGCAGGAAATTGTGGGTTGAAGGTAAAAAGCGCTTGCTGTCACATGCAGCGATGAGCTAAAACGGTTAAATCTGCTGCTGAGTTTAAAGAGAATCAAACTCAAACAGAAACAGGTTTAACATTTACACAGAAAGACGTTTCATCAAGGGTTAAATTATCTTTACCTTCACAGTCACATTTATGCAGACAAACAGCATGTGGGGGTGAAATGAATGTTTCCGCTGCGGTGATTATAAATGCTGCGCCACCACAGAGTTTTATTATAAAAGGTTTTATCTTCTCACCGCTCGATGTTTTTCACATTTTCTCACATTACAAACCAAAACACTATTTGAATGCTATTTCATGATCTACTTTTAACACAAAGTAGATCATTATTGGAAAGTGGAAGTAAAATTACAAACGGCAAAAACTGATCACAGCATCCCCACAGCAGAGAGAGGTGGTGGCAGCATCATGGTGTGGTGTTGCTTTTCTGTAGCAGGAATTAGAGTTGATGACAAAATGGATGGAAATCCTGAAGTAAAACCTGTAAGATTTTGATCTGTTTTGGTGAATCACATAAAATTCAAGTTAAATGTGTTTAAATTTACGGTTGAAGGTGACAAAATGTGGAAAAGTCCAAGGGTGGAAAACTGTTTCAAAGCTCTGCATATTAAAATAAGTTAATTTAATTTAGCTTCTTTACTGTGTAGATGTGATGAAGTGCAAATAATTTTAAAGATAAATTTGTTTTAGAAATGCCCCAGTAATTTTTCTTTGCACGTTACATTTTTCAGTCACATTTGAGTTTCCATCCAAATTTATAAAACCGCAGGATCCTCAGAGACTCAAACGTAGTTAAAAATCCCTCCTGTCATTAATGCGCACCATTCTTCTTCTTCTCCTTCTGAATGTCAGCATGTTGTTTTCGTCTTTGCATGTGCTCATGTGTGTTTACAAGTCCTGTTGCTGCTGATGTCATCAGTGATCAGACCCCTGGCCAGGTGGAAGCAGATGGCTGCCGGTTCCCTTCTTTGGCCCTAAGATTCAAGCGGACCAAATTAAAGGAGGACAAGTCAAGTTTATTTACAGAGCAGTTTTCAGCCACAAGGTAGTTCAAAGTGCTTCACACGATTAGATACACAACACAGTAAATGATTCTGTTGAGAACAGCAAACAAGCAATAAAAAATACAAATTTTACCAAGTAATTTTAATCTAATTTTTAGTATCTGATTACACCTGAAATAAAGTAACTTTTCAGCAAAATGCAGGAGCTTTTGTTTTACTGTTTTCAGTCAGTAATTCCTCAATATTGATGAAAAAGGCCTAGTTCCACTGGCAGATTACTTACAATAAGGGTTAAATGTCTTGTTAGAAGTGAAACATTGATTTTTTTTTCACTTGCATGTAAAAATGGCTGCAAACGGATGTGCAATTATACCACCGTGCATCTGTGAAAAGCAGAAGTGGAGCCTCCTGCACAACCAACAAGAATGCAGTAAGTGGTTTCTGAATACAAGTCAAACAAAACACTTGTCCTTTCTAGCAGCGTACAACGGTGAAACCAAGCGTGCCGGAGTTCCGCTTGGGTTGCTAGGTAACGGCCTGGGCTTTGGTGGGGTTGCTAGGCAACAGCCTGGGCTTTGGTGGGGTTGCTAGGCAACAGCCTGGGCTTTGGTGGGGTTGCTAGGTAACGGCTCAGTCCCTGTGGAATGTGACTTAACTCTAAAATCGACTTCAAAGAGCATTAACTTAGGCTGAGTGGATTCTTTTAAGGTTGTTTTTAGAAGCAGTAGAAACCCAAATGGACAAACAAAAATGAAAAACATCTTAGTTCTGCACAATAGATCCCCTTTAAATTTAGTTTAATTGATTCTAAGTAATCTTACCTTTAGTCCAAAAACACAGAAGAAACACACAACATGTTCAAGATTGGCAAAATAAAGAAAAATGGATGGATCTGATTTAAATAAAACACATCAGGATGGTTGTTGGACAATGATTGATTTTTCATGTTTGTTTTGTCCTGTATTTGTAAGGATTTCAACATTTTCACCTGTTGCTTGTTGCTTGGTAGTAGCTGTTCTCCTCTAAAAGCTCCTCAATGATTTCCTGAAGAGGAAGAGCAGAAGATCCTTTCACTGCATCTGACTGCAGAACTAAAATTAAAATAAACTTTATAATGTTGTATTTACTAGGTAGAAATAGAACTTCAGTCTGACTATTATAACTCTGAGTAAAGGAAAGTTAGAGTCAATTTACAACTTAGTTTTTAAGTTTAGGACAAGAGACTATGTAGACTTTTACCTGACATATATAGTTGTATCAATCAATCAATCAATCAATCAATCAATCAGTCAATCAATCAATCAATCAATCAATCAATCAAGTATATTTGTAGCACATTTCAGCAACAAAGCAGTTCAAAGAGCTTTACATCATGAAAACACGAAAATAAGAATTCATAAGAACAACATACAGGCACCAACCTGAGAAAACCAGTAACAAACATCAAATTTGGTGAGTGTCATCATCAAAATCACCAAATATGTTGATGAATATTTGATTTATTATGGTTCAAAAACAACTCTAAACAGCTGGGCTTTCAGTCTAGATTTAAAGGAAGCCAGTGTTTCGGCTGTTTTGCAGTTTTCTGGAAGTTTGTTCCAGATTTGTGGCGTATAGAAGCTGAAAGCTGCTTCTCCATGTTTGGTTTTTGTTCTTTAATGTATTGTTAATTTTTCTAAGCCATTCAGTAACCAGAGTCAGCAAAACCGTCAAGATTTTGATAAAAGAATCAAAAAGTCAAATTAAATCTAAAAAATAAACAAACTTCACCTTCACTCTGGAGAAACTGACCTGCATCTGCTGATATGTAACTCCGTCCCTGAGATTCTCATCACCTGCCACAATAAACAAGGCAATTAACTTTTTAATAAACTTCAGAACAATTTTTGAAAAATCTGTTTTGAAAACATAAAGAGATAAAATCAGGCTGAGACAGAAACGGATCGTGTCGGTGTTTGTTTTGGATTCCTGCAGGAGCAACTCTGTTTTACTGCAGGGGGATAAATCTACCTGAGGTGTCTGCAGCGAGGTGTTCCCCTCGGAGGAGCTGCACCACACGCTGCCAGTCCAAACTGGTTGAGCTCGTCTCCACCAGTTCTGAGGAAGCCTGGACCAGCTGGGGCAAAACACACAGCCAGTAAAGCTCAAGCATTGTCAAGGTAAGTTTACAAACTTTCCCAGCACCGCAGTTTCAATTCATTATTAGGTAATATAAGTCATTATTACTGTTATTAATAATATCTTGTAATGTTATTCTACGTTTTATTGTAGAAGCAAACTAAAATATATAATTTTATGTTTTGAAGTGTCTCCCAAACATCTGACTGCTCTGAAAACAAAACTAAATTAACAAAATTCCCCTCAATTTAAATAACTTCACCGTATAAAATATAACAACTTTTATTTCAATTACACAGATCAATAAGTCACTAAGATATTAGGAATAATAAATATTCACTATATTGAAACAATCCAAACAAATTGTGTTAAGGTAGAAATCCTTCCCGCTCAATTTAAAATTTAAATATAATATACAAAGAAAGTAAAAAAAAGAGAAAAAATCTCTAAAACAAAATGTTCCCGCTAAGCTTTCTGGTATTTAGCAGATATAAATAATTTTGGTAATTTTAACTAACTTAAAACAATAAAAGTTTAGCTTGATTTAGCTTGAAACTGCAGTGAGTAAAATGTTTGTATGTCTTTTATTAGGTGCCTGAAAATATCTGGTTTCAACTGTAAAATATCGTTTTTATAACCAAACATTCGATTGCAATTTATTACAAAACTGTGCAGTTTGAAGATCAAGCACTTTCAAGGACTTTATACAGAAATCAAGCACTTTCCAAAACCTCTGAAACACCTATTTGAAACACAAGCACTCTCAAGGATTTCAAGCACCCGTACAAACTCTGATTCTTAGTTTGTAATTTGCTTCAGATAAAAGTGATAAAAAAAACTGAGTTACTTGAGGGATATAATATTTTATTTTCATATGATTTAAATTTTACTGACTTGTGCAGGAAAAATTAACAACAAATAACATCCAAAGAAAAACAGGTCCAGTTCCAAATATATAAATTAAAATTCAAGCGGGCTGCGAAGGGCTTCTTGATCCTCCTCATCGTGTTTTAAGGTTAGCAGCTATTAGCAGCTGCTCAGCAAAACAGCGTGTTTTGTGTGTGAGCGGTGCTCGGTGGACACGAAAGCTTTCTGACCTTTCTGAGCTCCACCTTTAGGTTGTAAGGGTCGCTGCCGAGCTGGAAGAGAGACTTTTTGAATCGTTCAACGAGTCGCCGCTTCATGTTGTAGTTCGGAGCGGGAGGAAGCTGGAAATTAATCACACCCGGAAAAATGTTGAAACTGAACAATATCAGGACCAACATGGATTTAAAGGAAGCATATGTATAATTTATTTAACTCATGCTCTTGATTTTTAAATTTAAACATTTTTTGAAATAAAAAAAAAAAATATATATATATAT